TGCCTCAAGGCTAAACAGTCTACGTATCAAAACCCTGGGCATCGTGGTGATGCCTCTTTTATAGCCAGTTCCGTCTAAGCTCGCCTCAAATGCGCACCTAAGCTGAGGCTCCGAGCAAACCCCATACGCCAAACAATGCATGCTAAGATCAAACTATGGCCTAAGAGTTGACCTCCTTCGGCTGGAGAATGATGTTGTCGATCAGCCTCACCAGCGGTCCGCCGCTGTGTCCAAGATCCTCTCCCTCTTGCAGGTCCTCAACCGGCAGCATCCTCACCGCGCCGCTCAGGATGCCCCCCTTCGCCGTGTCGACAACCGACAGCTCCTCCATGGTGTCTGGATCAGCAAGTGAAATGTAGTCCACCTCAAAACGCACCCTCTTCCCGGGGGCCAAAGCCATCTGCTCCGCGAGCGTCTCCTCAAGCATCTTTTCCGCAGCACCTAGCACCGCCGTCCTGCCCCTCGAGCCACTCTTATACGCCTCCTCTGCCGCCCTCAACGCCTTGTACAACACCGTCGCCACCGCCCTCCTCCTCTCCCCCAAGTATACATTCCTCGAGCTCAACGCCAATCCATCCCCGCCCTCGTCGTCGGCCCCACCACCACCTCAATCGGCAGCATGAAATCCCCCACCATCCTCTTAATCACCACCGTCTGCTGCACATCCTTCTGCCCAAAATACACCCTCTCCGGCTGCACCACATTAAACAGTTTCATACACACCGTCGCCACCCCCCTAAAGAAAGTCGGCCTGCTCTGCCCCTCAAGCACTTCCCCAACAGGCGTAATCGTCACAAAACTCCCCTTACTCTCCACCTCCTGCCCCGGAAACCCCCCGGGGTACATCTCCCCCGTCGTCGGCGCAAACACCGCACTGATCCTCCCCAAATTCTCCCCATCATCCGCCAGCTCCCTATCCAATTTCACCAACTCCCTCACATCCGCCTCCCACGTAACCGGATACGACGCCAGATCCTCGCGTACCCCAAACTGCGCCGGGTTGACGTACACGGACACAACAACGTGGTGGTTTTCTCTCGCGGCCGCGCGGATGAGGGACAGGTGGCCCTCGTGCAGCGCGCCCATCGTCGGGACGAGCGCAACCGAGCGCTGGTCGAGCGTGTGTGGGCGGCGCCAGCGGCGCACGGATTCGACGGTGCGGAGGACGCGGATGGAGGAGGAGGGGAGTTTTTCGAGGCCGTTGCCACGGGAGGGGCTGGTGGAGCAGCGGGAGGCCATGCTGCGGGTTTGTTGTTGAAAACTTGGTTGACGGGATAGGGATTGTTGTTTGTGGGTGCTGAGGGAAGGTTGGCCGTGCGACAGGGAGGAGAGGGGTCGAGAAACTGTCACACGCGAGCAGGCGAAGCGGATGGCGGGGCGTGATGCGTGCCGGAGGAGGGCAGCGTCGGCTGCATCGGGACGGCGCGTCGGGACGTGGGGGCGGGCGGGCAAGTGAGAAAAGAGAACTTGGGGCGCAGAAAGAGCGGACGGCACAGCCGAGATAAGCAGGCGCATTGGAGCTGATTTTATAACATAGACATCCTGTGATGGTTTCTGCGGCGGAGTTTTGAGGACGGGAAGGTCCAGGGTTTGGGCCAGGGTCCTCAAATCTCGACAGGGGTTCTCTGCCGAGCCAAGCAGGGGTATCTCAACTGACAAGGGGCCCGAGATCTTATCTGATCTGAACTTCTCAGCTTCTCGACCTTCCCATTTCTTCTTGAAAAGCCCCTCAGCCTTATCTCTCTTCAACTCCCAGCACCAGAACCAGAATCCAGTGCACCTCCGACCTTCAACATATTTGGATCTCTCTTTCCAGGGAAGCAAAAGCCACACGAATCCAACAGATTAGCATCTTCCCCTCCTCCACCTCTTCTGGATGTGTGTTGGACCTGTTTCATTGACATTATCTCTAATCATTCCAATTACCCATTACTTTAAGAAGACAAGCTTTTCTTAACCGAACAAGCCCCCAGCCCCATTTGGATTTCCATTTCCGCCCACAACTGGATCTCCATATATGATTCCACCTCCGTTCCCATTTCCACCCACAATCCCCCCTCCATTCGCATTCCCTACCCCGTTTACATCGTTAACTCCAATTCCACTCCCAGTTCCTGTTCCGGCCCCATTAACACCCTCCCCATATACGATTCCATCCCCATTCGGATTACCAAATCCATTCCCACCCCCAGTTCCGGTTCCAGCCCCCTCTACGCCCTCCCGTACGCAATCCCATCCTCCCAAAATCGCCATTACCAGCATTTACACCCCGTCCCACTCCCCGTCCCTGTCCCCTCTCCATTTCCATTTCCATTCCCATTTCTATTCCCATTCCCCGTCCACCCCACCCATACCCCACCCGTCATCCCCAACCGGCGCTCCCCCTCCCTGCCCTCCTCCCCGTCCTGTTCTCCCCCTACATCCCCCTCCTCCGCCCCGAACCCCTCACACCACTCCCCATCCCCACCTCCACCACCCCGCCCCCAACTCGCCCTGTTGCGGCTGCTGCTGCTGCCCCCACCACCACCACATCAACCGTAAATGCCCTCGTACTCTCAAACCCCTCCACCCTCCCCAGCAACACCTCCAACATCCTCAACGCCACCGCCGGCTGATCCGCCGCCACCAAATGCCCGCCATCGCCGCCCCAAACCACGTCAGCCCCCTCTCGCTATGGCTCGTGCCCACCACCCCGCGCGCCGCAGCCACACCGCCGGCGGCAGTGTTTATGGTACGGGATGAAGAGAGGGGATGTGGGTTGCTGCTGAAACCCCATCGCTCCGGACCAGGTTAGGTTTTGAATAGTGAGGAGGGTGCCCTCGGGGAGGACAAGGAAATCTTTCGAGCCATGGCCCAGGATGACATTCCCGTGCGCTCGATAATCCCGGGAAGAACGGGCTGCGACCCCGGGCCGGCGTTAATAGACGTATCAATGCCGTTGACAAACACCGGGTTTGTCACGACGTTCTGGCAGAACACCCACGTCGTGTTCTCGGGTGCGTTGATGGCGTTTTTGACGGGGGCAGGTCGAAATAAGGGGAGGGGAAAGGGGGAGGACAAAAGTGCCGGCTGAGAAACCAATGGGGTCGAAGAGGACGGGGCAGTGCGAGGTGACGTCGAAGGCGTTGAGACAGGGGTTTAGTTCTGCGCGCGGCGAGGAAGGTGGCGGCGTAGAGGAGCATTGCGGGTGGCGAGGCCTGTTATGGGGTCTTCGCCTGGGAGGAGGGAGGGTTGGCGGCCGGAGGGCGGGAAGGTGAGGTATTGGTTGAGGTAGGTGGTGAAACCGCATTGGGCGTCGATGGCTTGGATGGTGGCGGTGAAGGTGTCATTGAAGGGGAGAGCGTTGGCCCATTCCTGGACAAAGGCGGCTGCTGGGATGTCGGTTACCAGTGGGATCTTGGAGTATAGCCCGTCCCAGATGGCCATGCCGGAGACGTTGAAGTAGGTTGCGTCGTTGCGGTCCAACATGGCGCTCGCGATAAACGGCGCCCACATCCCGCTGTACGACGACCCCGTCACGTACACCTTGAACCCCTGCAGCGCGAACGTGTCGACAAAGTTGGTCCAGAACCCCAGGAACTGCTGCGCGACCTCCTCCGAGCTTGTCGCCGTCGGCGTGCCCTGGCTGAAGCCCGCCCCGACCGGCTGGTCGATCCATACCACGTTTGTTAGTCTATTCCAGCTGAACTCGTTAGCTATGGGAAGGAGGGTGCCCGGCGCCCAGGAGATGGGGCCGTTTTGCTGGAGCAGCTCGCCCGTGGAGGAACAGCCCGGCCCGCCAGTGAGGTAGATGACGATTTCGTTGTTTTGCTGAGCCGCTGGGTTGGAGGACGGGAAGAACCAAAAGTAGAGCTGGTCGTTGGTGTCGTTGCCTAGGGGGGAGGAGGCCGGAGTAGGACTCGCCCACGTCGAAGTCGACGAGCGGGATGCCTGTGCCGTTGACGGTGAAGCCTTGGGGGTGTTAGTGAGGTGGGTTCTGGCCGCAGGTGATATGGATAGGACATACTCTGCGAGCGCTCATTGAGGAAGCGGGACTGTGGCTGGTCCTGGTTAGGGTTCTGATTTTGGCGGCTGAGGAGAGGGCTATGCCGCCGCCAACTCGGCTTGAGGTGTGTCTTATGAGCCTCTGAGAGAGGGATGGCCAGGGCCAGAAACAGGGAGACGAGAAGCCAGCGCATCCTGAAGGATGCCTGAGAATGCGTCTCAAGTAATTTGTGTGTATGATCCGCCAGTCTCTCTCAAACGGACGACTCAATACCTAATGATATCGGGTTGGTCATGCCCCAGTATTGCTGGGCCTTGAGTGTTGAGAGAAGACCATCATGTACTAAGGTAGATGATGTTCGTTTCAAACGCAACTTCTGTTTTCAGTGGCGAATGACGACGTGAGGTTCCATGTTCGAAACACGCGGTTGAGCTCAGAGAGGTAGCAATCCGTGATGGCGATGTGGTCGGACCTCCCCTGACTCGGTCGTGAGAGTAATGCTTCCATTGTTCAGACGGGAAGGGAGCGAACGGTATTGATTACCCCGAATGGCTTGAACACACATGATTCGGCAAGAGCGACAAAGTGTTTGGGGTGTGTTCAACATTTCCATGGCCCTCGAGGTTGATGGCTTGAGCGTCATCTTGAGAAGTGCAGGCACTTCCCATCTAGGGAGTTATGGAGGCTGAGGCTCCAAGAGACACCATACCACTGTTTATTCTTCTTTTGCTTCGTAAAAAGATTAAAGCATTGCCTTCAAATTCTGAGTACATATGTTAATATGGTGATTAATGCAGGGGTAACAACTCACAAGGGGTAACAACTCACATGCAGAACGTCAGATCAAGACCCTAAGCTCCACCAACGATATGGGTTGCAAAATGACGTGGTATCAAATCATCTTGACACCCTCAGCAAGCACCTCTAGAATCATCAACACATCAGTTCCTGGCGACGACCAAACACTTCAGTCGTTGCGATGGGACAAAAAATATCAAAAAGGAGCAAAAGCTTATGACAAGAGTGGGATTCGAACCCACGCCCTTTCGGACTGCGAAGTCAGAATCCTGAACACAGCGCCTTAGACCGCTCGGCCATCTTGCCTTATTGTTTGGTGAAGTAGTGAGCCTAGCTTAGCACTTAGGTAAGACAGACCAAGGGGTTCCCTGGTGACAGTCCCGAAACAGCCCAACGCTGCAAATAACAACAAGCATCATTCACCAAGTTCCATCCTCGAGAACAAAAGATTTAACCTTTGTTGGACCATTTCAATACTTTCGACAACGGCCCTTTTTAAAGTCCTTTCCAATCTCTCAGATTGACCGAACCTCTCCATCTTCACTCGAGCCAATTTCACAGTCTCGCAGCTTGAACGACCTCGAAGAATCCACCCCAATCCCCTCCGCAGCCCTGGATCCACCACCTTCTCTCTCCCCCATCCACAACAATTTCAGCCAAACACCCACCCAAATTCTTTTCATCCAAAAGGCAACGTGCCAGAGTGGTTAATGGGTACGCCTCGAAAGCGTATGGCTTCGGCCGCAGCGGTTCGAATCCGCTCGTTGTCGTTGTCCGGTTTCAAACCTCAATATTTACTTTTTTTTTTCGCCTTTTGCCTTTCGCCTTCTCCTTGTGGAATGGGTGATGAGGCACTCCCTTTTTGTTTGGAACATTTTCAATATTTACCATTGTTTGAACTTCGGCCACAGTTGTAGGTAGTAGGTATCATTCTTTTCGAGGTGTATGTGCTCTCTTAGTTGCAACGGAGAGACGACAACAAGACGTGGAGGTCTATTCTGAGTCGATGAGTTCAATTAATCAATGAACATCTAAACTTGCCATCATAATAAAACAACGCTTGCAAACACCAGAACGCCAACTCTCTCAGCAACATGACACCTGCAACAGCTCCGCTAGACCATGTCCCGGTTTCACACCTCAATGACGCTTGAGAAGAGCCAACCTCTCCCACCCATCCGAGGCGCCTGACACCACTTAACCTAATCCCAAGACACCCTACCATATTTGACCGAGTCTCCTCGCTGACACACCCTCTCCTCACCCTCCCCAAAGTCCTCCACCTGACCCCCAACCTCCTCCCGCAGCACAACCTCATCCCGCCCAAACCACCCACCGCACCTCAACCCTTGCCCCATCCCAACAACAACCAGCCCAGTAGCACCCATCACGGGCTGCTACTTTTCCTCCTAACTCCGCTCCTTCCTCTTGCCCTCATTCCTCCTCGCCCCAAACCTCGCGATCCCCCCGCATCACCACCAAGTCTGCCCTCGCACCAACGGTTCCAGGCGCCGGTTCGCCACCATTTCCACCAATTTGCTGCTGCTGCTGGCCGCCTAATCCCAATGCCACGGCGCTGTCACTCCTCGAGACGGATAGTTGCTGGGACATATCAACCTCTGGGAGCGAGGAGGGCGTGCGTGATGCTGGACGGGCCAGTAGTGGGACGTTTGGTTGGGGATGGGGAAGGCGGGGAGGGGGCGCGGAGGCGCCGTAGATGCTTGAGCTGGGGCTTATGCCGACGATGACCGTGGTTTCCACACCGGGGGTGGCGATGGGTTCCTGTTGGGTTGGGTTTGCCTGGCCGGGGGGAGTTTCGGCGTGGAAGTAATCGTGAACCGAGTCGTGAGGGCTAGAGTTGTTGTTGTTTGGTGGAAGGCATTTGGTTTTGGGGCTGATGTCGGGGGATGCCTCCTTGACGGGCCCAGTGGACTCTTCCGCGAGTTGTTCGGCTAGCTTGAAGGGGATTATGCTCGTGGAGATGGGGTGTGCGTGGAAGTTCTCAGCGGGCCGTTCCAGCTTGCCGAGGACATTCTCTTGAGGTCTGGCTCGACAGTGATTCCAGACATTGGAAGGGAGCGATGTCGGGCCTTCTTCTCAGTGGCCTTGGCTACCGCTCTGTCGGTTGTGGGCGTGGGCAAATTGCCCTCAAGCTTTGCAGGCAGCTGGGAGCCGTTCGGCTGGCTCAGCCGGTTGAGCGCAGCAACTGTGCCCTGTGGGAATGAAGGCGGATTCGAGTCGGTTGAGACAGTGTAGGGGTACGAGATCTTGACTCTCTGCTGTCCCGATTGTCTCGATTGTCTCGATTGTCCCGAGTTTCTCGAGTTTCTCGATTGTCCCGCTTGTCCCGATTGCCCCGGTCCGCCCGTTGCCTTCTTCCGATGGAAAATACGGTCCCGAAGGTTTCGGAGCCGCTCGCGCCATTTCTTCTAGCCCATGGTCGCGTTTGAGTTCGGGCACTGCTGGAGGTGGAGGAAGAAAAACTAGACGGAGAGAAGGCCGTCTGGCTTCCCAGATGTGCGGCAGGCACTAGAGTAGTGCCGGGAATGAGGGAGAGCCTGTGCTGATGAAGGAATGATGAAGCTTCCCAAAGTTGGCGATCGAAAGGAATACTGCGATTAGAACTTGTTGGGAATTAAGAAACAACGGGAGGTGACGGATGCTACGAGGACATGGGCGTTGCCCTGTTTGTGTTGACGTTCCCTCTTCTTGCACTTGCCTTACCAACAGTTTTCAATTCCCAGATCTAGAAAGGACAAGCGGGGGCTTAAGAAGGTGCAATGCTGTCAAAAGCTGCCATCTACGGAAGGAGAAAGTGGGCGTTGATGGGTTCCTCCGCTGCTCTGTTGCTTCTGGAGCTGCAGCTAGTTCATCATTACTTAAGGGGGCAGGGAGGTTGTCCTTACGGGGTTGAAGACGAAGAATACTCTTCTCCTTCACTGAATGTCGACAACCACCAAACAGCCCTCGTTGAGAATAGGATGTGAATGAAAACATAAACCCCGATTACTCCGCTGAGTACATTCTCTCGCCCAAAAACGGCCGGCGTTTCCTAACGTTGGACTTGGGAGAAATTTATCTCACACAGATTGGAGCTAGATCCGCCCTACCTCCTTGACGAGTTCAAACCCACACCAGCCATCCCACCCCACCTGATCCCTAAACCTCAATAACAACAGCCTGCCCATAAACCGGGCCAAACCCATCCCCCAAATACCCACCACAGACAACAAAAAACCCCAACCCCGCCACCGCACTCCTCACAACCTGCTTCTTCAAGAAAACCTCCACCTCAGCCCTCACCTCCTCCCCATTCACACCCCTCCTCCTCCTCCTCCTCCTCCTCCCCATTACCCCTCACTCACAACCTCCGACCCCAGCACCTCATAGCTCGCCTCCATGCGCGCCCTCGCAACCGCCGCCGCAGCACGCTTCTCCCGCTCCATCCTTCTGCTTTCCAGCCGCCGCCGCCGCAACCTTCCTAGAGCGAGCGGGACCGAGGAAGAGCAGGTACGGAGCCAGCAGATCCGACGTGGCCAACTGCGAGCCGAGAACCAGGGCGGAGGCGTACAGCAGGTAGGGGTGGCGCAGGGGCCGCGGGGAGAGGGCGTAGGCGAGGGCGAAGGCAGAGGAGGAGAAAAGGCGAGGGCGCGCGTGTGGCGGGCGGCGGCGGTGGTGAGGGCCTCGAAGGCGCGCGAGGCAGAGGAGGCGGAGGGGAGGGTCAGGAGCGCGGGAATGGTGAGGGTCGAGAGGGAATAAGAGAGGCCCTGCGGTGGTTTGTGTTAGTGCTGGGAAGAGGAGGGAACATTGTGGGAGGTTGGGGAGGGGTAGAGGAGGAGCAACGCACCGTCAGGACGCCGAGCGACACGGTGCCGACGAACTTGAGCACCGAAACGCTCCTCGCAGCAGCCATGGTTGCGATCGTGTGTCTGCCAAAGACTGGTGATGGTCCGCGCTGGCGGTGGGGGAAGGGCGATGAGAGGTTATGTCAGCTTCAAACAGCCAATGTGTGGTGTTCGGCAAGAACTGGGGAGCAACGCATGGTTGACATCAATGCCGTGGCGGGAAAGAGAGGGACGGGAGGAAGCGCGGAGAAGAGGGGCCTATCGTGGCCCTGGGCACCGAGGGAGCCAGCAATTGGGCGCCAGCAGTGGTTCCACCCAACTGCGTCATCATTAACCGGGGTGGCAGGGATGAGAGCTTAAGGACAGCCCTAACCCTGAATTTTGATTAATTCCTATCTAAAGAGGTATTTTGGTAAGTACAAACATCCCTGCAATAAGGCAACGTGCCAGAGTGGTTAATGGGTACGCCTCGAAAGCGTATGGCCTCGGCCGCAGCGGTTCGAATCCGCTCGTTGTCGATATCTTTTGACTTTTTTGTCCAATTGTCCCTTTTTGCTTTCTGCGGCCGAGACTGTGGCCGGATTGGGTGGTTGCTGTTCGATGTTTGAGACAGGAGAGTCTTGTTGAGTCAACAGTCTCAGGACAGGTCAGGAACGACACAAGAGCTTCAGACCCAATGTCAAGACGGCGTGGCCCCTTTTTTTCCTTTTCGACAGGCGAATTTATCTCCGGAGACAGGGCAGCCGGCCTCTGCTAGGACACACAGTGTACCCTCACCGCACAGCACGATTGCACCCGGGCAAAGAAACAGATATTTTCTGACTGCTTGCTATACAACCAAAACACACTGCCCTTCCTTATCACGCATAAAAACACCAGCAATTCCCAGTTCTAAACCCCTTCCTAACTCCCTCCCTCTAGTCCAAGTTCAACCGCCACAGCCCATCCCCCAGGAAATGCGCATCCTCCATAACCGGCCCCTTGCCCTTCTCCCTCGTCTCCTTCGTCCCCATAACCAAAATACCCACCGCAGCAGCATGCTCCTTCCCCTCAGCCATAATCACCACCGGCTCGCCCTTCTCCAGCTCCCTGCTCCAATGCCCGTCCTCATCCACCCCCTCATTCGGCACCTTGACCTCATCCTCCTCCTCCTCCTCCCCATCCTCTCCCTTCTTCACCTCCTCCTTCTTCCCCCCTCCTTACTCCCACCGATCGCATCCCTATCCACCACGACCGGCAACCTCCCCCCAGCACTCGTCACCCCGGGCGCCATCAGCGTTGCGCCACTCAACACAAACCGAATCGCACCGCGATCGATCCTGATCGTCGGGAAACACTCCGGGAAGCGGTGCACAACGCGCAGGTGGGGCAGCAGAACAAGCCCGTGCGCAACCGTGTCCTGCTGGTAGAAAAGCGGGCGGTTGTCGAGCACGTACAGCGACACGCGGTCGGGCAGCTTGA